TAACTGTTGCAATATTAAAACCACTTGAGCAAGAACCTCAGAGCATGCCCTACATCCGGGACCTGGGGAGGGTGGGAAATTGGGTGGGCTTTCTCCCTTAATACCCCCCTTTATACATGAAGGTAACAATATGGAAAACATACTAGTATTATCCACTTTCCTTTAGCCCTTGAACCTTCTTACCCTAATTAACTATGTAAAGATTGTCAAAATAAAAATAAAATTTTATATTAAAAAAATTAAAAAAAAATGTATGGCTAGTGGCTGGGCTGAAACATCCAACAGTAAGAACCAGATTGGGTTGAAGTCCAATCAGGAAAAGCCACTGTTCCTGCTAAGACAGGAGGTGGACTGAATGGACCCCCTGGTATGCACAAAATCTGGCACTGGGAGAGGTTCTGAAGGAGGAGCCTGGGTAACTCCTCTGGCAGGACACAGACCCGGCAGGTAAGCACATGATAGGAAACAGCCCAGAACAGGCCATGGACAGTTTCCCACTGGCATACATTTGGCATGGGTTGGGGGCAGACCAGGCTGAACCCATTCACATCATCCACTGGCAAATCTGAACACCAGAACAGAGTATGAGTTGAGCCAGGTTCTGTTGTGACAAAAGCCAGTGCACATTACGGAAGGACAAGGTGAGGTGACCTGTGCCGGATGTGACTGCAGCGCCCAACCAGCACACGTGAGAACCAAGAAGGGAGGGGGCGGAGCTGGTAGGGGGAATATGGGGGTGTTCCCCTGCTGCACAGCTACTCCCACTGGAGAGCATGAGCTGGGATGGGAGCTGACCAGACTAAGCAGGGCTATAACACCTGTGGGCCTCATGTAGACTAAATCAGGGAAAAGCCAGGCTGAGCTGATTGTTCCCAGTGCTGCAAACTAAAATTAGGGTGGGTGAGGGTTGTTTGGACTTAGCCGCAGCATCAGCTGGAATAAGCTGGCACTGGGGGCTAATTCTGTCAACTTAAGCCACAGAACCCCCTGGAGAGTGCACAATCCAGGAGCAGGAGTAGACTGGGAGGGAAATAGTGGGCTCCACTTGGGTTACTACTCCCACTGGAGAGCACGAAAACTAGGATAGGGCCTGGGGTGGCTAGACAGAGAGGCACCCAACAACATCTGTGAGAGGGCTGGATAGTTAAGCTGGTTAGATGGAACTAGGCATAAATACCCATTGACATGTATGAGAGCTGAAAGGGATGTGGGATAGACCAGACTAGTCTGCTGCACATACTGGCAAACCAGGGTAGGGGGCGCACCTGGTGGGGGTTATTGTGGGTCGCTCCAACTAGGCTAAAGCTCCCACTGGTTTGTGTGAGGGCCGAATGAGTGCTGGGCCGAGTCAGGCTGGACTGCAACACCCAATGGTTCCAGTGAAAGTCAAGGCTGGAGACAGAACCAGCCCAGCAATTGCAACCACCAGCTGATTGGGGTGATGGACTGTGCTGGGCCCTGTACTTGCTAGTACATGCAAGAATCTGGTCTGGGAACAACTCAGACGAAGTTTCTTTTGGGATCTCCCCAATCGAAATGCTGGACTCAGAACCCTAACCATGAAAAGACAGAGGACAGAACAAGTCAATCAACCACCTCAGCCATATGCTGGCAGTGAAAAACTGGGCAAACAGAGATTCTAAGATGGACTATGTCAATCAGTGGATTCTTCAAAGACCTCATTGTGCTTGGAGTAGCGAGACTGGCAGCAATTCATAACTGTTGAACTATCAACACCACTTGAGCAAGACCCTCGGAGCATGCCCCACATCGTGGACCTTGGGTGGGTAGGAGACTGCATGGGGCTTCACCCTTAAAATCCCAATTACCTCAGATACATGAAGGAAACAATATGGAAATGATAGTCTTACCCAATTTCTTGTAACCCTTGAATGTTTTTACCCTAATTAACTATGTAAAGATTGTAAAAAATAAATTTTAAAAAATGGAAAAAGTTAAAATAAACTAAAAATGCATGGCTATGTAAACAATGTCTGCACTTACAGAAAACAACCCAGCAGAATAAACAGTCAGCTGATGGTAATTTGAGGAAGGCATTTCATATCTGACATCATTTCACTAATTTTTCAATTTCTTTGCAAATAACTTTTTTTTACATTAAAAACAAGTAAATATGAATAAACCCATTGTTACGCCATACCGGAAAATGCTCAGAAGACAGGGATCTTGTTCAGAATTAAGACTAGAACACTAGTAAGCTAGAAGCTAAAGTCCTTGCCTTGCTCACAAAGCATACCAAATGGACAGGAATTCTAATCTTGGAAGTCCCGCATCCCATCCAGCTCCATGCTGATTTCTTTTATGGAAAATTCAGATACATAGAAGGAAAACAGAGAGAAAGATCCGTCCAATGATAAGCTACCTAAATACCCGCAATGGCTGGAATTGAGTCAATCCAAAGCCAGAAAACAATTCTGGATCTCCCAGGTAAACAAGGTAAGAGGTCCTTGTCTTGCTTAAAGGACACAGAGAGCTGGATAGGAACCTGGACAGCCAAGATTAGAACCGGCAACCATATGGCAACCCAGGGCATACAATGTGAGGTCTTGAGCTCCTAAAGGGCAATGCAAGCCCGAATGGAGTTTTTTTAAAAAAAAAAAAAAAAAAAAAAAGGAAAAGATATATTTTCTGTATATAAAATGAAGAGAGACGGGCCCAGCGTAGTGGTGCAGTGGTTAAGGTTCTTTTTTTTAAAGATTTATTTTTTATTATTTTTTCATTGGAAAGGCAGATATACAGAGAGGAGAGACAGAGAGGAAGATATTCCATCCGATGGATTCACTCCCCAAGTGAGCGCAACGGGCCGATGCTATGCCTATCCGAAGCCAGGAGCCTCTTCCGGGTCTCCCACGCGGGTGCAGGGTCCCAGTGGTTAAGGTTCTTGCCTTGCACGCCCGGGATCCCATATGTGCGCCGGTTCTAATCCCGGCAGCCCCACTTCCCTTCCAGCACCCTGCCTGTGGCCCGGGAAAGCAGTCGAGGACAGCCCAAAGCTTTGGGACCCTGCACCCACATGGGAGACCCGGAAGAGGCTCCTGGCTTCGGATCGGCATAGTATCGGCCGTTGCGCTCACTTGGGGAATGAATCATCGGACAGAAGATCTTCCTCTCAGTCTCTCCTCTCGGTATATCCGCTTTTCCAATAAAAAAATAATAAAAATAACTCATTTTAAAAAAAAATGAAGAGAGACAAGGATTTCAGAGATAGTTACAATTCGCTCCAAAACACCTGGGGCTGGGCCAGGCCAAAGCTGGAAGCCAAAAGCTACATCCAGGTCTGCCACGTGACTGCAGCACCCCAGGGACTTGGGCCATGCCCTGCTGCTGCTTTCCCAGGCACATTAGCAGGGAGCTGGATCACGAGTGGAGCAGCTGGGACCACCTGAATTGGAATTCAGCTGGCATGCTGGAATTACAGGCTCTGACTTAACCCACTGCACCAGCTCACAGGGCCCAGGACACACTGTGACAGGTTCTGTCACAAATGGGCCTTGAAGACATTCTGCTAAGTGGCTGCACCTCAGAATCAAAGGAACAAATGTTAGACAATGTCCCTCCTGTGACTTTCCCCCAACAGGCAACTCCCAGAGCCAGGCAGCAGAAGCACAGCTACCAGGTGTGACCAGAAGATCTTGCGTGTTCCTTCCTCAATTCGATATCCAGATAAAAAGGCAGAAACGCGTTGCAGACAGAAAAGTCCTAAGTGCATCATTTTCTCACTTCTGGGCAGCTGGTGAGCATTGGTCCTGGCGCCCTACTCCCGCTGGTTGAAGCAGTCAAGCTACCAAACTTTGATGTGCGATTGGCTGGGCCAAGTTCTTTCAGTCTACTGGCATTTGTAAGAGTCCTGGTTTGCTCCCCAGAGGGGTTTCACAATCACTGTCATTTCAAACCCCGTGTTTTGTCCACTAGGGGGTATCATGGTGCCTAACTCGCCTTTCAGATCATATCCTTTGCACTGTGGAGCTGCACTATTAAAGGCATCTAAGAACTCTGGTTTTGAACACACACACCTGTTTGAGTCCTGTGTTTTGGTTGCACTGCCTTTAGGAGTCAGCTCCATTAAAGGGCTCGTGTCGTGCGTGGCACGCGGAGAGAGGCTCTATCTGCTCTTTGTGCAGAATCCACATCAAGAGGTTTGAAGTTTCGACTCCTGGCCATCTGGTGACCCTTGTTCAGGGGTCCGGGGTCCGGGGTCCGAGCACCCTTACACTCCTACACTCTCACTGCCGTTTTACCGCAAGGAAGCTGCTCACTCTTCCCCCTGGCGTTGAGGAGCCAGCGGTGCTTTTGATTGACCACTGAGAAGAAGCACCTGCCACACTTCACTTTGAGATTTGTGAGCAGAGACATTAGCAGTGTCTAAAGTTGGCATTTGAGAAGGCATTGTGCAATTCAAGACTCAAAAGTGAAGCCACAAGAAGAAATCTAGATACAAGACAATCCGGCAAGTTGTGAAAGAGGGGAGCGATGCTGCGAAGGGCCTGCTGGTGGATGTTGTTTGCTTGCAACCCCCAGGATCCAATATGGTTGCTGTGATGGTTTGGCCGGGGTAGATGGCCATATGTTCTGTTCTCCATTCTCTACTATGGTACCAGATGTCCTCTGCAGGTCCCAAGAGCTGCCATAATTTCCATGTGCACCATGGACTGTCGTTCCACACTCCAGCCTCTGCAGTGAGGAGGACCAGTTCTCTTAGGTCTGCTCATGGACCTAAGCCAGGCGAGCAGCCCTGGGCTCATGGATGCAGCAACTGCAGTGCGTGCAAGCACAAGGCTCTGGGCCATGCGCCCAGGGAACTGGCTCCCTTACCCAATGGGCTCATGAACCTGGTCCCCCATCCCGTAGACTGGTTTAGACACCAGGGCCAGAACACCCAGGCCCCACTGCAGCCCCCCATTCCTGGAGCTCACAGACCCAGTACCCACTTCGTAGGTGGGTCCTAGGTTCTGGGCCAAGAGACCTCTGACTCAGCGGACCCCCACCTCCTTGGATCACAAGCCTGACACTCTCCAGGTAAGTGAGCCCTGGAACCTGGGCTAGGAACCTGGGTACTCCAGACCCCACTCCTGGGTCTCATGGACCCAACACCCACCACCCCCACTCTGACTTGGTCATCTTTCCTCAGCAACCACCAGTGGGTGCTTCAGCCTAGTTCCTTCCAACGTGCCCCCAGTTCAGCTGGTGCTGGCTGGTGCTGCAGGCTAGCCTTTCCCAGTCAAGCCCCAGTCCTGGCTCCAGTGTGATGTGGCTGGTGATGTGGCCCAACTTGGCCCCTCCTGCACCCTCTCCTGGTTCTCAGATCTACCAGTAGATGTTAGGAAGTGACCTGGCCTGGCCCACCCCCTGACCTGACTCACAGGTGTGCTGGCAGACAGTATAACCGGGTCTGGGTTGGGCTGTTCCCTGCCTTGGTTCTTGTGCTTACCTGCAGGGATTGCAACCTGACCCCCAAAGGAATTCACCCAACACCTCTGGCCATGCCCTCTGCGCCCTTGGTGGCCTCCCTGGAGTGCACTGCGATATTTGCATATCTCAGCTGCTCTTGCCTTTCCCTCTACACGGTAATAGACAAATCAGAGATTTTCCTAGTGTGGATGTTCCTGCAGATGAGTCTGAAATTGCCTTATGGGCACCAGTTCTAATCCCGGCGGCTCCACTTCCCATCCCGCTCCCTGCTTGTGGCCTGGGAAAGCACTCAGGACGGCCCAAAGCCTTGAGACCCTGCACCTGCGTGGGAGACCCACAAGAGGTTCCTGGTTCCGGGTCTTTGTGCTCACATGGGGAGTGACTCATCGGACAGAGGATCTTCCTTTCTGTCTCTCCTCCTCTCTGTATATCTGACTTTGTAATAATAATAATAATAATAATAATAATAATAATAATAAATCTATTTTTAAAAAGAGAAGTCAAGTGGTTAAGCTTTGCTCTGTCCCCTCCAGGAAGAGCTGCATTGGCTGAGACTGACCCTGGGTTTGGTGGGACTGTGAAGGGGCAGGCGGTGACCTTGGTGTGACCTTTGTCGGCTTGGGTGGGGTGTGGGGAGGAGCTGTTGGCAGGAAATGAGCAATGGAAAGTAAGCAGATCTTTGAAACGGGCACCGAGCAAGAAATCTTTGATACAGGCACCGAGAAGCAGCTCTATTTATGCTGTGTAATCGTTTCCAGCTCGCATTGCCTGGGAGCTGACCACTGTGAAGCTTGACCCTGAAGCAGCAGTTGTTGTGACTCATTGCCAACTTGTGCTATGGGCTCCCACAGTGACCCCAATTTGCCTGGAGGCACTTGCTCACTCTTCCTGGCCTTCTATAACAGCCCACTATGCTTTTACAGTGGCTTCGTGGAGAGAAAGCTGCTCGCTGTCACTGGCGTTGCGGAGATGAGCTTTTTTTGGTTTATGAAAACTGCTACACTCTTTTGGATGCGTTTTGTGGTCGCCCTACACGCCTACGATAATCTTTCTGCCGGAAAGCTGCTCGCTGTCAATGGCGTTGCAGAGATGAGCTTTCCGTTAATGAAAAATGCTACACTCTTTACAATGCGTTTTGGGGTCGCCCCACACGCCTATGATAATCTTCCTGCCGGAAAGCTGCTCGCTGTCAATGGCGTTGCGGAGATGAGCTTTCCGTTAATGAAAAATGCTACACTCTTTACAATGCGTTTTGGGGTCGCCCTACACGCCTACGATAATCTTCCTGCCAGAAAGCTGCTCGCTGTCAGTGGCGTTGCGGAGATGAGCTTTCCGTTAATGAAAAATGCTACATTCTTTTGGATGCGTTTTGTGGTCGCCCTACACGCCTACGATAATCTTCCTGCCGGAATTTGCTCGCCTTCACTGGCGTTGAGGATCTGTGCTTTGGCGTTGGGAAAGTTGCTTTCCCATTATTTTGGATTCTTCTTCGGGGGCGCCCTTTCTGCCCGGGGCTACAGATCTCACACTCTTGCTGTGCTTTTGCTGCGAGGAAGCTGCTCGCTCTTCCTGGCCCTGAGGATTGTGATTTGCGGTGGAGAAGTAGCACCTGGCACGCTTTGAATATTGTGAGCAGAGGCGTTAGCGATGTCTGAAGTTGGCGTTTGGGAAAGCATTTCGCACCAACGACCGGAAGCTGAAGCCACGCGATTTATTTACAATGTGTGAGCTAATCTGGTTTTCCAAGAAGAAGAAATAAATATTTTGAAAAATTGTGTATAAGAGGGCCCGGCGGCATGGCCTACGCCTAAAGTCCTCCCCTTGAAAGCACCAGGATCCCATATGGGCGCCGGTTCTAATCCCGACAGAATTAGCCTTTGTGCTCACTTTGGGGAGTGCCTCATCGGACAGAGGATCTTCCTCTCTGTCTCTCCTCCTCTCTGTATATCTGACTTTGTAATAATAATAATAATAATAATAATAATAATAATAATAAAATCTACTTTTAAAAAGAGAAGTCAAGTGGTTAAGTTTTGCTCTGTCCCCTCCAGGAAGAGCTGCATTGGCTGAGACTGACCCTGGGTTTGGTGGGACTGTGAGGGGGTGGGCGGTGACCTAGGTGTGACCCCTGTCGGCTTGGGTGGGGTGTGGGGAGGGGTTGTTGCTGGGAATTGAGCACGGAGAGCAAGCAGCAGTGCTTTGAAACGGGCACCGAGAAGCAGCTTCCTGTTACCAGAAATGCCCGGTGGGTTCTTTCCTCAGCTTAGTATAGAAATAAAAAGCCGGGAATCTGTTACAAACAGAAAAGTTTATTTGCAAAAGGGACCAGGGAGCAGGGAGCAGGGAGCAGGGAAGGGAAGGAAGGGGAAGCACCTCCGGAAAAGAAGCCGGGAGGTGGGGTGCCTCTGGAAAGAGGAGGGAGAGAGAGACACCAAAGGTTTGAGGAAGGGTCTAGGGGTTTTAAGCCTTCCTTGACCCCTCCTTATTGGGCGGGGAGTCTACAGGGGAGATGTTCCCCATTGGTGGTCTCTTGATTAATTAGGAAATGGGTGGACAATGCTGGTACCGCCCACCTGAAGGTGTGGCCAAGACCTCAGAGGGCCTGGATGGTCTCACTTCCTTTATGTGTTGTAATGGTTTCCACCTCTCATTGCCTGGAAGCTGACCACTGTGAAGCTTGACCCTGAGGCAGCAGTTGGTTGGCGACGACCATCACACACGTTGCTGCTGTTGCGACTCATTGCCAACTTGTGCTATGGGCTCCCATAGTGACCCCGATTTGCCTGGAGGCACTTGCTCACTCTTCCTGGCCTTCTATAACAGCCCACTATGCTTTAACCACGGCTTGGAGGAGAGAAAGCTGCTCGCCGTCACTGGCGTTGAGGAGCTGAGCTTTCGGTTTAGGAAAGCTGCTTTCCCATTGTTTTGGATCCTTCTTCGGGGGCGCCCTTTCTGCCCAGGGCTACAGATCCCACACTCTTGCTGCGCTTTTGCTGCGAGGAAGCTGCTCGCTCTTCCTGGCCCTGAGGATTGTGATTTGCGGTGGAGAAGTGGCACCTGGCACACTTTGAGTATTGGGAGCAGAGGCGTTAGCGATGTCTGAAGTTGGCGTTTGGGAAAGCATTTCGCATCCACGACCGGAAGCTGAAGCCACGCGATTTATTTACAATGTGTGAGCTAATCTGGTTTTCCAAGAAGAAGAAATAAATCTTTTAAAAAAATTGTATATGACCGCGTGTCGGGACCGGGGTCCGGTGCGGAGAGCCCTTCGTCCCGCGAAACGGGGCGCGGCCGGAAAGGGGGCCGCCCTCTTGCCCGCCAGTCACGCAGCGCACCTTCCTGGGGAACCTGGCGCTAAACCATTCCTAGAGGACCTGCTCCTGGGTCGGGGTTTCGTACCTAGCAGAGCAGCTCCCTCGCTGCGATCTATTGAAAGTCAGCCCTCGACACAAGGGTTTGTAAAATGAAAAAAGAAAAAAAAATTGTATATGAGTTGACAACTTATTTATTTATTTATTTTTATGATGTTTGATGTTACTTAGTTATTGGGAGCCATATCATCTTGGCATATTGAAGTCATTTTGAACATAGAGAAAGGTCAGTGGAAAGCACCAGCTAGCAAAGTGCAAGAGAAACCAAGTTTTAAGATACCCTGTGGTTTACAAGTCATCTAGCAACTCACCCTGCTCTGATCACCCTTGGTGCTCATGACAGGATGTTGGCTTATGCCCTGTCTGCTGGCATCGTCTTGTCTTGTGAGCATCAGGTGGTCTGGAAAATAGCTACCCAGACAGAGTTGTGAAACCATACCCAGAGCTTGTTTCCTCTTTCCCCGCACCCATAGATCCTGTTTGGCAGATAATAAAGCTTTGTGTAAAAAACAAAAGCTTGGTCAGCTTGATCAGACATACTGTCTTGCTGTCCGTTTCTTGTGTCTCTTGTTCTGCATTCTCTGCTAGGTTGGTTGCAACCTTCCTTGGATGTCCTGCTGGACAGGACACATAGTCGATTGGTTGGGATGGATGTAGGGACAGGGATCATTGTTTCCAAGCTTTCCATTTCTTCTTCCCATCTGGGGGTATCAGGAAGATAGTGGGATGGGCCATACCCAGCCTCCCAACCATCCCAGAACCCGAGGAAGGGGAAGGGCTACTGGATATCAATGCAGGGTCATAATGTGGCACGATAGCTCCAAAATGCTGTCGATGTAGCCTATCTATGGATAAGGAATCCCTTGCAATGTTCACTGGCTGACAGAGTGGATGTTATAGTCCCCGTTGGTCCACATGTTTTCTGTCATGGTTTGGCCGGGGTAGATGGCCATATGCTCTGTTCTCCATTCTCTACTATGGTACCAGATGTCCTCTGCAGGTCCCAAGAGCTGCCATAATTTCCATGTGCACCATGGACTGTCGTTCCACACTCCAGCCTCTGCAGTGAGGAGGACCAGTTCTCTTAGGTCTGCTCATGGACCTAAGCCAGGCGAGCAGCCCTGGGCTCATGGATGCAGCAACTGCAGTGCGTGCAAGCACAAGGCTCTGGGCCATGCGCCCAGGGAACTGGCTCCCTCACCCAATGGGCTCATGAACCTGGTCCCCCATCTCGTAGACTGGTTTAGACACCAGGGCCAGAACACCCAGGCCCCACTGCAGCCCCCCATTCCTGGAGCTCACAGACCCAGTACCCACTTCGTAGGTGGGTCCTAGGTTCTGGGCCAAGAGACCTCTGACTCAGCGGACCCCTACCTCCTTGGATCACAAGCCTGACACTCTCCAGGTAAGTGAGCCCTGGAACCTGGGCTAGGAACCTGGGTACTCCAGACCCCACTCCCGGGTCTCACGGACCCAACACCCACCACCCCCACTCTGACTTGGTCATCTTTCCTCAGCAACCACCAGTGCGTGCTTCAGCCTAGTTCCTTCCAATGAGCTCCCAGTTCCAGCTGGTGCTGGCTGGTGCTGCAGGCTAGCCTTTCCCAGTCAAGCCCCAGTCCTGGCTCCAGTGTGATGTGGCTCAACTTGGCCCCTCCTGCACCCTCTCCTGGTTCTCAGATCTACCAGTAGATGTTAGGAAGTGACCTGGCCTGGCCCACCCCCTGACTTGACTCACAGGTGTGCTGGCAGACAGTATAACCGGGCCTGGGTTGGGCTGTTCCCTGCCTTGGTTCTTGTGCTTACCTGCAGGGATTGCAACCTGACCTCCAAAGGAATTCACCCAACACCTCTGGCCACGCCCTCTGCGCCCTTGGTGGCCTCCCTGGAGTGCACTGCGATATTTGCATATCTCAGCTGCTCTTGCCTTTCCCTCTACACGGTAATAGACAAATCAGAGATTTTGCTAGTGTGGATGTTCCTGCAGATGAGTCTGAAATTGCCTTATGGGCGCCAGTTCTAATCCCGGCGGCTCCACTTCCCATCCAGCTCCCTGCTTGTGGCTTAGGAAAGCACTCAGGACGGCCCAAAGCCTTGAGACCCTGCACCTGCGTGGGAGACCCACAAGAGGTTCCTGGTTCCGGGTCTTTGTGCTCACATGGGGAGTGACTCATCGGACAGAGGATCTTCCTTTCTGTCTCTCCTCCTCTCTGTATATCTGACTTTGTAATAATAATAATAATAATAATATAATAATAATAAATCTATTTTTAAAAAGAGAAGTCAAGTGGTTAAGCTTTGCTCTGTCCCCTCCAGGAAGAGCTGCATTGGCTGAGACTGACCCTGGGTTTGGTGGGACTGTGAAGGGGCAGGCGGTGACCTTGGTGTGACCTTTGTCGGCTTGGGTGGGGTGTGGGGAGGAGCTGTTGGCAGGAAATGAGCAATGGAAAGTAAGCAGATCTTTGAAACGGGCACCGAGCAAGAAATCTTTGATACAGGCACCGAGAAGCAGCTCTATTTATGCTGTGTAATCGTTTCCAGCTCGCATTGCCTGGGAGCTGACCACTGTGAAGCTTGACCCTGAAGCAGCAGTTGTTGTGACTCATTGCCAACTTGTGCTATGGGCTCCCACAGTGACCCCAATTTGCCTGGAGGCACTTGCTCACTCTTCCTGGCCTTCTATAACAGCCCACTATGCTTTTACAGTGGCTTCGTGGAGAGAAAGCTGCTCGCTGTCACTGGCGTTGCGGAGATGAGCTTTTTTTGGTTTATGAAAACTGCTACACTCTTTTGGATGCGTTTTGTGGTCGCCCTACACGCCTACGATAATCTTTCTGCCGGAAAGCTGCTCGCTGTCAATGGCGTTGCGGAGATGAGCTTTCCGTTAATGAAAAATGCTACACTCTTTACAATGCGTTTTGGGGTCGCCCCACACGCCTATGATAATCTTCCTGCCGGAAAGCTGCTCGCTGTCAGTGGCGTTGCGGAGATGAGCTTTCCGTTAATGAAAAATGCTACACTCTTTACAATGCGTTTTGGGGTCGCCCTACACGCCTACGATAATCTTCCTGCCGGAATTTGCTCGCCTTCACTGGCGTTGAGGATCTGTGCTTTGGCGTTGGGAAAGTTGCTTTCCCATTATTTTGGATTCTTCTTCGGGGGCGCCCTTTCTGCCCGGGGCTACAGATCTCACACTCTTGCTGTGCTTTTGCTGCGAGGAAGCTGCTCGCTCTTCCTGGCCCTGAGGATTGTGATTTGCGGTGGAGAAGTAGCACCTGGCACGCTTTGAATATTGTGAGCAGAGGCGTTAGCGATGTCTGAAGTTGGCGTTTGGGAAAGCATTTCGCACCAACGACCGGAAGCTGAAGCCACGCGATTTATTTACAATGTGTGAGCTAATCTGGTTTTCCAAGAAGAAGAAATAAATATTTTGAAAAATTGTGTATAAGAGGGCCCGGCGGCATGGCCTACGCCTAAAGTCCTCCCCTTGAAAGCACCAGGATCCCATATGGGCGCCGGTTCTAATCCCGACAGAATTAGCCTTTGTGCTCACTTTGGGGAGTGCCTCATCGGACAGAGGATCTTCCTCTCTGTCTCTCCTCCTCTCTGTATATCTGACTTTGTAATAATAATAATAATAATAATAATAATAATAATAATAATAAAATCTACTTTTAAAAAGAGAAGTCAAGTGGTTAAGTTTTGCTCTGTCCCCTCCAGGAAGAGCTGCATTGGCTGAGACTGACCCTGGGTTTGGTGGGACTGTGAGGGGGTGGGCGGTGACCTAGGTGTGACCCCTGTCGGCTTGGGTGGGGTGTGGGGAGGGGTTGTTGCTGGGAATTGAGCACGGAGAGCAAGCAGCAGTGCTTTGAAACGGGCACCGAGAAGCAGCTTCCTGTTACCAGAAATGCCCGGTGGGTTCTTTCCTCAGCTTAGTATAGAAATAAAAAGCCGGGAATCTGTTACAAACAGAAAAGTTTATTTGCAAAAGGGACCAGGGAGCAGGGAGCAGGGAGCAGGGAAGGGAAGGAAGGGGAAGCACCTCCGGAAAAGAAGCCGGGAGGTGGGGTGCCTCTGGAAAGAGGAGGGAGAGAGAGACACCAAAGGTTTGAGGAAGGGTCTAGGGGTTTTAAGCCTTCCTTGACCCCTCCTTATTGGGCGGGGAGTCTACAGGGGAGATGTTCCCCATTGGTGGTCTCTTGATTAATTAGGAAATGGGTGGACAATGCTGGTACCGCCCACCTGAAGGTGTGGCCAAGACCTCAGAGGGCCTGGATGGTCTCACTTCCTTTATGTGTTGTAATGGTTTCCACCTCTCATTGCCTGGAAGCTGACCACTGTGAAGCTTGACCCTGAGGCAGCAGTTGGTTGGCGACGACCATCACACACGTTGCTGCTGTTGCGACTCATTGCCAACTTGTGCTATGGGCTCCCATAGTGACCCCGATTTGCCTGGAGGCACTTGCTCACTCTTCCTGGCCTTCTATAACAGCCCACTATGCTTTAACCACGGCTTGGAGGAGAGAAAGCTGCTCGCCGTCACTGGCGTTGAGGAGCTGAGCTTTCGGTTTAGGAAAGCTGCTTTCCCATTGTTTTGGATCCTTCTTCGGGGGCGCCCTTTCTGCCCAGGGCTACAGATCCCACACTCTTGCTGCGCTTTTGCTGCGAGGAAGCTGCTCGCTCTTCCTGGCCCTGAGGATTGTGATTTGCGGTGGAGAAGTGGCACCTGGCACACTTTGAGTATTGGGAGCAGAGGCGTTAGCGATGTCTGAAGTTGGCGTTTGGGAAAGCATTTCGCATCCACGACCGGAAGCTGAAGCCACGCGATTTATTTACAATGTGTGAGCTAATCTGGTTTTCCAAGAAGAAGAAATAAATCTTTTAAAAAAATTGTATATGACCGCGTGTCGGGACCGGGGTCCGGTGCGGAGAGCCCTTCGTCCCGCGAAACGGGCGCGG